TCCAAAAACATCAGAGGCGGGATCAGGTGCCATGGAAGAGTGAGCATCCTCTTTCGACTGGTCATACCTACCGTGTGCTCCTTTTCATGATCGGATGTACGAAAAATTCCGTAGATATTTTAGTGTGTAAATAATGGCGTAATAATTAGTATGAAAAACGTCAGTCAGCATCTGTCCTGATGATAAATTGTATTTGCTGATAAGGTCATTGTATCGACCATAGAACTTGGGGAATTGATGACTTCAAACAAAACTGTTGTTATCCTTGTTTCATCAACTTGTTTGTTAATAGCTTGTCTGGTTTTAAAAAATCGATCATACGAAGACCATACCCTTGCGTATCGAATCAAACTGGGGACATAAACCCCATATGCAGGTGATTAGGGTATATTGTTACATGTACATAAATAAGGGAATTAAATAAGGGAAGTTGAGGATAGAAATGTTGAAGTCGTGATTTCACATTTATCATGATTTTTTGTTGTAAGGTTTTCATTAACGTCTTTTTTCTAGTGAAATAAATTACGAAACAGATGTGTAATACTCTGTAGTGTCTTTTATCTCAAGTTCACTGGGATATATCGAATCGACATATAGAGGAAAGTAACTATTGTTAATTGAACATACATGTACCGGTACGTCGTTGATATACCTAAATGTAGGAGTTAAATGCCACAGCAAGCGTTTTCTTTTCTCGTGCAGAAGTTTTTGAATAAATTCTGCATCATATGAATACAAAAATATGTCTGCAATTGACAGGTCGCAATTGGTACCCATGGAAATTCCAACAGATTGTTGGAAGACCTGATCTCCAAAAACTACATAAATATTTTCAATCAGAAACTGAAGCATTTTTTTAATATCAACTTAGAGAACTTGTGTTTACAATCAAAATGTTTTTAACCCCCCCAAAAATGCAAATGACCAATGACAAGGTAAGTATATTGACGAGTTCCATTTTTATTGAAAAAGCAACTGTCTATGAATTCAAAAAGCCTAGATTTAAATTTATTATGGTTGTATAAAAAGTTGAGAAGTCGTTTGTTTTGATGTTATAGATTTTGTTAAAAATTTTTTATTTCAAATTTTCTAAAAGTTCCTTGGAATTTTTAAGTATCCATATCTGATTTACACAACTTCTCGAATATATACTGTTGTACAGTACTCTACGTAGTCCGATACTTATGTTCTGAAAACCAGGAGTTAAGCAGTTGAAAATGCTCACAAAAATGTGTCTCATTCTCAAAGTTATATGTATTTACCCATGGCATTTCTTCAAAATGTATCATTTCAGTTTACCATATTATATAGGGAAAATCATCAAATTTCAAATATATTTTCAGGAAACGCGAATTTAGAGATCCGGCTATTCATTTCCTTATTGAAAATAATTGATCAACATTTATATTTAGGAATGAAAAAACCAGATATCCAGGCATTTGGAGAAAATTGTATGTTTTTTTAATACTTATGCAGTACTTCGGTTCTTCTATGTATTTCAGTTGTTATATAATGCATAGTGTAAAAAGCTTGTGCTATCATTACAAGACACCCCAGATCACTTTTCATTTCAGATCACTCTGAACATTAGTATCTAAGGCTGGATGAAAGGAAATTCTGATTTCTCTAAAAATGTATTTATTTGTATGATTCGTGGGTTACAAGACCCTTTTGTGACTTCAAAGAACTTTCAATCATGTTGAGATGCATCAAATGGAAATTGTTGCAGGAAAAGATTTCAAATTCAAGATTCAATTTGATACTTTTTAATTATTATATAATAATAATTTAAGACTTGTTGTTCCTGGCCGATGAACTAACATCCTTAAAGGAAGGTTTCCACGTTGTTCCTATCGGCAGTTCACCTGAAAATAGAGAAGAATGGAGATTCACATTCTTAAGAGCAGAACAAAAACTTACCGATTCAATGAATCACTGTCAGTTTATGTAGTTTTTGTGTTGTGGCTTCTATCGAGTTTTTCTAAAGGAAGTAATCAGAACAATACACCGGTACTTTGTTCATACTTCATTAAAACAGTTGTATTTTGGGTAATTCAGACTAATAATTCGCTGACTTGTTATTCACTCAATAATTCACCTAACAATTTATTGTCTTGTTACTGGGAAGACTTTAAATTATTGATCTACTTGGTACGTATTGGAGAATTTGATCTGCATGTCCAAACCTTTTTATTCCATAAAACATAGTTATACTGAAAGTCGTCATTTCTGTACAAATTTCATTCTTCAACCTCTCTTGCTTGATTTGTATTGTAAGGGAATATCACGTTGACCCTGTGGTCAAACCATGAGACCTTAGCAATATCATATCATATACTGAACTGAATATTAGCTTAATTAAAGAAATATTTTAAACGAGGTATTGATCGAGTTAAGGAATTCACTGTTCATATGGAGGATATAGAGAGAATAATAAGGGAAGGGTTGTATCAGGCAGATCAGTTTGTGATATCGAATCTATTGCTTTTATGATACAGAAAATGAACGTTATTTTAATACGACAACGAAATGCAAAATGACCATGTCTTGGAATGTAAAGTAAAGGTTGGTAATCTCTTCTTAGCTCACATGAGTTGAACGCTAGTTGGCTTTTCTTATCACAATTTGACCGGCATACGTCTGTCTGTCCGTCTGTCTGTAAAACTTTCCCATTTTCTGGCTTCCAAATGGCCAATTTCAATCAAACCTGCTACAAATCATCTTCGGGTAAAGAGGATTTAAAGTTGTTCAATTGAAGGGTTATGCCCTCTTTCACGGGAAGATAAGTAAGATTTACATGTAATGAAAATTTAATGGCTTCTAGTAAAAATCTTCAAGAAACATTCTGCCAGAAAAAGACTCGTTTATTATGAACATGGATATAGCGAATTTACAGATATACCGAATTTTTTTTTAAATTCCCGGCAATATTTTCAACAAAACTTGTACATTTTCACAATTTAAATGAACAGATATTTACGGATATAGAAATATTTACGGATGATTTTGTATCCCGTAAAAGTGAAAAATAACGCAATATACATCTTTTATAACGAATTTTTATGATCACAAAATTTTAAGTATTAAATTGACATTATTTTTCATAAGTAAATATAAATTAAATTCATCTAAAATTTGTAGTTCTCCAAGAATAGCAGACTTCCGAGTTACTGCCGGAACAACGTTTTTCTCCGAATTTTATACACGCCTTTAAAAAATTTAAGCCCTCTAAACTTCCGGTTTCTCGCAAGGTCATACTAAGCGGTAGAATACAAACCATTGATTGCTTGAATTATGACGGATTTCTATTCTCTGAAGGTTCCGGAACTCAAACAATATCTCCAAGAGCGAGGTGTTACTTGTACGTTACTTCGGAAGATAAATCTGGTAAGACTATGTGAACTCGCAACGGAGCTGAATCTTGAAATAATACCAACCGATGATGGGGGAGATTACAATGTCATGGACAAAAAGAGGAGAACAGTGCAGGTCAATGGCAACAATATCATTATACCGTCCCCAACTGACGTGTGCTCGTGGCAGACACAGCTCAACAACATGCCAGACATACAAACAAATGATATTCTCATTTTTTATTGACTTATTGCAAGTGGGAAAACAATCGTTTACAGACATACAAAAATGACAACGGTTTTAGATTATTTTCTAGCAACCACATTGACAATGTTCAGATTTCGCCGGTTCTTGAACATGACTATATGTACATTAAGGCAACATGTGTACCAGAGACCAGACAAAATTCTATTCCATATACAACATGGTTGTTGGTGCATCAATCAGGCCAAGTGATGTCTGGAGGTTGCACATGTGTTGCGTAAGTATATGGTATATACTTCTTTATCATACTTCTTGAATGTGTCAGAATGTTATCACTTTTGACCAATTTTCAGATGTATTAGTTTCATTCTATCAGAATGAATGTTTATAAATGAATATATTCATGTGTCTGATTCCATTTCCATTTTTGACATGTTTATATATGCATTATACTTTATTTTGATTACTCATACGCCTTATTTGTATACTTCATCTCTCATTCTTCCATTAGCATTTTTTTCAGTTCCTTTTTCTTTTGTGACTGTTGACCAGCGTGCATAATATGTCTTGATAATGTGAAACAAGCATTTTTTGTTCTCTGGTTGTTGGTCACTTTTTATTCATCATGTTCATCATCATGGCTGAATACTGAAGATGTATCCAACATTACACCCTTTCTACAACAGCTGACTGGTAACTTTAAACCATGTAAACAATCAAAACATATACATGTATACATTAATATTTCACATCTTCACATCATCTTATAAACAAGCAACATCAATATTCTATTGAAAAAAAAAATGTTATTCTTTTTTTCAATGTAAAATTAAATATATTGATTCAAACCTGTAATTTCTTACATATAAATAAGCACATGGCAATTTCAAATGTGACATGAAAATTTTCACATATTTTATAGAGACAATGGAACCTGTAAACATTGTGTTGCCCTTCTGTTTGCGGTAAATGACTTCTGTTCTCGACACAAGGATAGAGGTACTGAGGTGGGAACAGATGTTGAGTGTGTCTGGGATAAGCCCAGAAATGAGTCAATTCCTATGGAGGTAGATGAAATTGATATCAGAACTGATACAAGTGTACCTAAAAAGATCACCCCCATTCATACAGTCTATAAATCAACTGTGAACAATATTACATGTACTACTAATGACGTTAAGATCAAGCTTAAAAATATTTGCAAAGGTTCGAAAGCATTGCTTTTACAAACACTATATGAAGAGGGTGATGATTTAGAGGATGAAAGTGATAGTTCTAAAATTCCAACAGTTCTTGATGTAGTAAACTCTAATGTTGGAGAAAATATTTTTGTAGCCTTACAACATGCTTTTGATAAAGACACTATAAACAAAATTGAAGAGATCACCAGAGATCAGAGTGAAAACCCAGAATGGTTTAATCATCGCAAAGGCAGAATTACAGCATCAAATTTTTCTTCTATTTTAAGCTTTAAATTTACTGAGAATGATGAAAATTATATATCGAAAAGAGTTATGGGAAAGTCAAGTTACATAAATACTCCATCTGTAAATTTTGGGAGAGAAAATGAAAATGTGGCACGTCAGTTGTACTTTTTGGACTATAAGAAATGTCATGAAAAGGCCAAACTTGAGCTTAGTGGTTTACAGGTAGATGAATTACACCCATATTTAGGAGCCTCTACTGATGGTTTGATAAGCTGTAAATGTTGTGGTGAGGGACTGATTGAGATTAAATGTTCATACATGTATCAAAATAAAACACCACAAGAAGCATGTCTTGATCACCATTACCATGTATATTTAGATGAAAACAACTTAGTTAAACTAAAAGATAGTTCATCATGGTATATTCAGATCCAAGGTCAAATGGGTGTTTGTAAAAAACAACGGTGTGACTTCATTTTGTATACAAAAAAAGGTACTGCTGTTGACAGAATATATTTTTACTCTGAACTGTATGAAAAAATTGTCAAGACATCAAAAAGATTCTATGAAAAGTACATTGTAAAGGCACTAATGAACAAAAAATAAATGATGACAAAAAACCAGTTTGATTATTTTTTCACAAGTGGTGTCTGTAAATTACAAAGAAAAGCACACACTTTCAGGATCTGATTTGACAATGGCTTCAATGACAAAGGCATGGTATCACTTAAGATATTAAAATTTTTCAATCTTTCTATAGCACGTTCAACATGAATTCTAAGACGAGCTATACATCTAGTCTTAATAATATCATTCTACAGCAATCTTTTTCCTTTACCCCAGTTACATTTCTTGGTAAAAGGTGGAATTACAAGCTTTGCATGTCTTTCTAACAATAAATCTCTAATCAAAAATCCTCTGTCAGCCATAATTTCATGACCTGGTCTTACATAATCGAGAAAACCACAGTTCTTAGTAATATATCTGTCAGATGTATTACCTCCCCATAAATCTGATATAAAAATGATAGCACCAGATGGCATAATACCTATCAGAGCTTTGTATGTATTATGATGCTTATAAGTACTATAAGTTCTGGACTGTGCAGATGGAGATCTGGGCTTTTGTATAAAAAATTCAGTACAATCAATAATACAAACTGTATTGGGAAATGTAAGTTTAAAGGACTTAGGTAAAAACTTCTTGATAACAGGTGTAGATGGCCAAACTAATAAAGGTGTTAAAATATGATACATAAAATTTACCCATGTTGTGAAAATCTGAGACACACGTGTATTTGAAACTCCAAAAATATCAGCCAAAAAAAAAAGTAAAAATAGCAAGCCGTAAACGAATAAGAGTCATAATAAATTCTTCATATTTTGACAGTTTCCTTGTTGGTCCAGTTTTCCTCCTATCCGCATTCTGCTGGTATGGGGTTTCCTCAGCACTGCTTTGTCCACTCCAATATTTAATGTTGGGAGATGCTTCATCTAACACTTCTACAATACATTAAAAAATACATTTGATCATCCACAATTGTATGAGCATATTAATTATTATGAACATGCATTCAAATTTTTTATGAGGAGCAAAGCAATTAAGGTAAGTATTCTTATTACATGTACCATACAAGTACCCTTTACTGTCCATTATTTTCAAAACTCTTATTATTCACACTGGTTGGTATAAAAATATCTTTTTACACTGTGATCTCTGGACAAATTGTATTTCATTCAGTATTATTAAAATACATGAATTTTCATGCAAATACATAACAGGCTAAACAATTTACCATACAATCCATGTAGCATTGACTTTGATGGAATACCAGTGTATTGCTTTACACTCCTATCAGTTGCTGTGACCTTTTCAATGAAGAGGTTTCTCATGAGAGCATCAGGATTTTCAAACTTCTTCTTTAGAGCCATGAGTTCCACCATTTCCTCCATCCCAAAATCTGTCTGTATTCCACAGTCAACTGTATCTGGACCATGGCTGTCACCTACAGCTGCAGATGCATACTCATGGTCAGGGTGGCATGGTTGCACAACTGAAAGAATGAGATGATAAAAGTAATATCTTAAAAATGTGTCCCTGTGTATTATATAAATTAACTAATATTAAAAATATAAATATATGAAGAGAAATGTTTTAACTAATCATCAAGTAAAAATCTGCCTTAATGTCTTCACAATGACACTTCGCCAGTAAATATTTATTGATACTATTATAGTACATTATAATATTTTTAAAATTTAAAACCTGTATTCAGTGTTTCACACACAGAAGCCACTGTCTCCTCAGACACAACAGGGGGTGTTTGAAAATCCACACATTCCATTTCCATATAACACTGACTATGGCTCTATACAGGAAATTTAATATTATATTTAGTTTCATGTATTTAAGCTATACACTGAAAAAATACATTAGTACTGTGTACTATCATCATTAAATAAACATGTAAGAAACATTCATGACAAAAGAAATAGTACTTAAAACATTTCTGTGCCTGAAATTTACAGTCAATTTTCATACATGGGTAAAATCTGAAAATTCAAATACATGTATTCACTGGAAAAGCAATTAAAAAATACAATTGGCACTATGAATTATAGTGTCAGTTCGAAAAGCAGAAACAAACATTTTTTTCCACAGGCCTTATAGATATATATTTATATACACATCTTACACTTACATCATTGTAGGACTGAACATTAGCTGCCTCTTCATTTGACTCCATCAATTGTGAATTTTCAAGGAACTGGATGAACCAAAAATGTATGTTATTTTCATACCAACATAATGAAGGTCTATATATCTACAAAGGACATTCTGCTAGTCAGTTAGCTGAGTTAAAATACTCTTTACATGTATCAAAAAGAGCAGTGTTTATTAGGCTTAGGATAGCTAAATTGAAACAGTATACTGTAGTAGAATAGGGGATTTTTAATACTATCCTATCAGAGATGACAATGTAGTTAAACAAGGGATTTTACGAAAGTGTCGCCTACCTTTAATGTAAGGTGACAACGAAACACCAAGGTCTACATAAAGAGTAAACACGCTAACACAAGGTTATTCTCTTTAGAGAAGTGGACAGGCTGTCGCCTACATCCATGGATGTAGGCGAAAGCCTGTCCACTTCTCTAAAGAGAATAACACAAGGTATATACAACACAAAGAACAGGAAAACGTGGTGAATATATAGGTTGACAGGTAGGGCTCAACTAGCTGATGTTGAAAGCGTGCAGGCACAAATGGGTGGCTACGAGTTCAGGGTGCAAGGTCATAGTGAATAAATTAACAAATGCATTTAAACTACAATACTCTTATTCAAGGGCTTGAAACAAACTAGCCTATCATTACAAAGATAAATGTAAGGGGGGGGGCATTTTGATTGTATTGTATTAATTAATTATACATACCTCGTTAGGTTTCTCTGCCGCTGAACGTTTGGTGATGGATGTTGAGCTTCTGTCTTGTAGAGGCTCCTTGAAATTATTGTAAGCAAATAACGTGGGGTAAGGGTTTTCAGGTGTTGGACTGCCATCAACAAAATGTCTGGAACATACCCAAACATTGAAAAAAATAATATTCTTTGTACTGAGACACGAATATTTTGCAAAAAGTGCAAAATAATATAGACTTAAAGAATTATTCCACTTTACCCTGTGGTGCATAGGTGGGTCGTAATCTTTCCGCCGCAGCAAACTCAGCCACGCTCGCCTACATTTTGGGTCCTTTTTCTGCGTTGGGAAAGGGAAAAACTTGACTTCTGCCATATACCCATATCTTCCCATTTTCCTTGTGTCAGCGTGACAGCCCTCGGCAGCACAGTAATACCGCGTTTTGCTACTCGCCATATCGTCTGCACCGGAAGTATCGAGGGCTTAAAAAAGTTTCGAATCACGTGACCGCAGTGTGTAAAATCAAGAATAAAACGGTATTCCGGCAGTAACTCGGAAGTCTGCTATTTTTATATGTAATACTTCCCTGAACATAGTCGGCAGGATACATGTACATGAAGGAAAACGTGTATTGCGAATTTGTTATTTGTCTTTTTGTAATTCAACGAGTTTGTCATACGGAGATAACAAATTACGGATATGGCGAAGTAAATTCAACGGTCCCTGAGACTTCGTTATACCGATTTTTACTGTAAAGGAAAAATATTCAAAGTTTCCTTCTGAAGAACAGAAAATCGATTATTATTAGTCTTGTTTATATGGAATCAACCTAAGGTGGTGAAGATTCAAGTTTGTTCATATCATGCCTCCCAAAGGTAGGGTTGGGCCATTATAGGTGATTAAATTTTACACAGTAATATAACGGAAAAAATCTTTGAAACATTTTCTGAAAAATATCATAAACTTTATCATAAACTTTAAGGTTTGTTGGTAACAAGAGCTGATTGATTGATTATTTGTTGTTTTACGTCCCATTCGAAAATTTTTCACTCATATAGAGAAGTCACCATATACCGGTGACTGGATTTAAATTTGGACTTTACTCGGCATTCGGGGCCATCGAGCAGTGAGGGGCAACGCCTGTCGTGACATGAGGTTTCAATTTTTAAATGACACGTGATTGACCTCTTATGCCTGACACCTGGCAAAGGAACACTCACTACCTATGTTGTCTAAGGTTTGACGTGGCGCGGCGAAAGAGAATCGAACCCTGGCCTCCCGACCACGAAGAGAACGCCCTACAACTTTTGATAGACTGATTGTATATTGTTCAAAGTCCCATTCGAGAATTGTTCACTCATATAGAGACGTCACCGTATGCCGGTGAAGGACTTCAAATTTAGACCTATACTCGACACTCAGGGCCATTGAGCAGTGAGGGTTCTTTATCGTGCCAACGCCTACCGTGACAAGAAACCTCGGTTTTCAAGGTCTCATCAGAAAGAACCCGTGACTTTCACTTCTAGTGCCGGGCGCTTGGCGAAGGAACAATCCCTTCCTATGTTTACGTCTTAGGTTTGACACGGCGCGGCGAACGAGAATCGAACCCGGGCCTCCCGATCACGAAGCGAGCGCCCTACCACTAGGCTACCGTGACCGGTTTACAAGTGTTATGTCTGTTCTCTGTTCGTAAGCATCAACGTTATTTCTAAGAAGAATATTTGAAATCACATTTCAAATCATATAAGAAGTACATTTATGTACATATAATAGGATGCAGTGATTTTGTGTTTGTTTGTTAAACGTCCCTTCGATGATATTTCACTCATACTGAGACGCCACCACTTGCCGCATGAGGCCTGCAAGTTAAGACCTGTAGTCGGCACTTACGGCCTTTCAGCAACAAGGGAAATACTGCGACACATGACCTCGGTTTATACGGTCTCATACGAAGCACTCGTCCCCATGTCCCGCAGTGGGATTCGAGTCTAAGTAGTTTTTTTAGGTTCCTAGGGATAGACTTAAATATTAACACTCCAGCCAAGGTTCTGCGTTTTTGGTTTACCCCTACCACCCCAAAAAATGAAAAAAAGAGAAAATGTTCATTAACATATTCATTCAAGTTAAGTGATAATTTGTCTTGATCATGATAGACTCATTGAAATTTAAGAATGAAATACCATAACCCTATACTTAGTTTGACAACATTTTCCTGTATATTTATCGAGTCTGTTGTAAAAAGTAAGGACAAGATTGATACGATATATTCCCAGTAAGTGAAATCACTTCTTACATCCTAGAAAAACAGAATATTTTAATTTCTCAGCAGTAAGATTATGGTATACTTATTGTAAACTAAACGGGAAAACTTTGAATTTAAGAACTAAATACCAACCTAATGCCTTTTTATCGTCATGAGAGTCTCATTTATCTCATTTCAATTTCTAAAGTTCCTGTCTGCTGAAGACCACGGACCGTTGAGGAAGGCCTGGTGACAGTCGTTAAACCACCAGCCTCCTCCGTAATGAGCAGCACAGTTACCATAACTCCACCTGTCATTATCTCTGTCTGGTGTACTAAATGACATCCCAGACAGGTTAAAGGCAGACCTCACTGTCTTTAACATGCTGTCACCTGTATAGAGTGATGGAAACTTAATTTAGATAATAATAAATATTAATCTTGTGACGGAAAATATTAGATGAGAAATAAAATTTAAAATGTAAACAAGGATTTCCAAATTCTGTAACGAAAATCTTCAGTGATGATAAATAAATATGACCATGTATTACCTGTATTTAATTTCTTATGACTGCATTTAGTACCCTTTTAAAAATTAATGAAAAATAATCAGGTAAAGACAATTCATATGCTCATAGAACTTTCTATCATATTTGATGTTGCCAAAAAAAGTTCGTTTGTTGTTTAACAATCGGCAATCCTCGGTTGACACTGCTTATGCTCCATATCGTGCCAGCACTTAGTGCCACACTGGGCGGGTCTCAACTATTACAAAATGTTCCTATGATAGATAGTTTATACATGTGCTACGTAATGTTACCGATACAGATACACTACTTTACCTTTCCCCTATGTTTCTATGACAGATAGACTACAGTACAATTACCTTATATTCCTTTGAAAAATCAGTTGCATAACTATAACCTAATGTTCCATCGAAGGGTCCCGCTAGATACAGTCTATACATTGTTTTCTCGTCCGAGATTGAGAACAGGTCGTATCGTCCATATAGCGTTGTACCAGTGGTCAATGTGACGGAAATGTACAATGATTGGTTTTCTCCCCTTGTTAGGAAGTGGATAACTTCATTACCTTAATTAATAATTATGATAATATACTTTATTAACTTTACAACAAAATGGACAGAAGTTATGTAATGAAAATTCACAATGTAGAATTTATTGACGTTTTCCTTATATCGTGGATCTTAGGCCATAAAAAAAGAATTCATAGTTTCTCAGGCCAAAAATTTCAAAATTTAATGCGGCGGGCAGGTTCTTTTTTTTTTTTTGAAGCAGGTGTTATACCTTTTTTCATGTCAATTGTTCAACAAAATGATGATATAAACTGTATTTTACTTTTTTGTTCTCTTACATGAATTATAATATCTATTCCAATTTGAATAATGTTATTCCAAACAAAGTTAATTCATAAAATACTGCATTTACAAGAAATGTATTGTTTATCTAATAAAAAAAAGTCCATCTATTAGTATTTACGAAAAGGGGAATAACTCAATTTTCTTTTTCAACTTAAGAACAGAAAATTGAGTTATTTCCCTTTTCAGTATGTCAATAAATTGATCAGTGCAGCAGTTTTTGACCTGATTCGGCGGTGCCTGAGAAACTATTGACTTTTTTTTTTGGTCTTGTGACTTTTTAGACTTGTTACAAGGAGAATAATATCAGTCGAGTAAATCAGTGACTTAACACAAAATAAATTGGATATGTCAATTTTGTTGACTAAGTAACACAGAGGCCTATGGCTTACACCGCTCACCTTAGACACCTTGGAACTGCAGTTCTTCCTCATAAGATTCTAAAAGATTGTTTTTTCTCTCCTGTTTAGATGAAATATTTTATTTTATATTGTGGTCCTAACCTGGATAGAAAGGGGTCATTATATTCAAACTCTAATCCATACATCATAGAGATGGCTCCCAATTATATCTCAATCTCTGGGTCATGAAATTGAAAAAAATAAATGAGTTTAACAATTTAGGAATGTTTGCAAACTACATGTAAGGATTCTTAAGTGGAAAATGGGAAGATTTCTTTCTTAAATATTTCCATGTAAAACTTTGTTTCCAATGGACGCTGGACAACGGATGATCACAAAAGCTAATAAGAGCTTAAAGCTCAGATGAGCGTAAACGAAACACTTTATGCGTAGTGTCTCTATTTGTTAAATTCTTTCCTTTGTAAAAGGTTGAAAGTCATTTTTTATAAGAACAATGAACGGCAAGCAAGAATACGATTCTCATTTTATCGTCATCATTTACGATGTCAGTATCACATGAACTATCCTCTTTTTTACATTAGAGAGCTCTAAATTAACTTTTAAAATTTCCCAGGCAAATTAAGTGGTTATGCGCTTCATGTAAGATATAATTTGAGAAATCTTTAAACCAAAGGAAACAAGAGCACCTCTAAGCGGAGCATCCCCTCGCACAAGGAACTTCACTAGCAATGTCTCCAAACGAGAGAATAATTCTTAAGAGGGACTTAAACAAAATATCATCTTGGGGGGGGGGATCCATTTTAACAAAAATCAAGATGCATATCATCTTTGTGGGGGAGGTAGGGGCATAACATACTTACGTGATTCGGAAGTTTCTCTTATTCCTAGCAGAAACATATCACGTACGCTCTAAATTTCAGTAATTAACCTACCTGAGCATACCTCACAGATGCATGCAATATGCATCAAATCTGAGAATACCAACGGAAGTAATATTTTCTTCGTAATGAAAAATGATAATATACCGGTGTTGAGCTTGTGAAATGTTTTTTATAGCTTTCAAGAATTACTTGCGCCTCAAGAATAAATTCCATATTGTAAACAGACACGTGTGTTAATTTGGTAATGAAACCGCGACGTTCATCAAATTATATCACTCACTGTCACAGATGACACACAAACTGTCTCAAGATACGCACAATAATATGACAATACGCAAATACAAAGTTAGTACACCAACTCATCGAAACGACTCCATCGAAGCCACCCGAATTAACCCGGTCAACAGAGTACCAGTTAAATTAACAGGAAGTGAGTATTGTCAACTCGTACATAAAATTTCAGGGTTTGAAGCTAGTAAAGACGCGATATTTTAAGAAAATTTTACCGATTAACTTGAAAATGAATAGGGTTCGTCCTTTTACAATAACACATAAGTATGTGGGGGCTGAGAATTGATAGCGCAAAGGTTCTCTTTAAATCTTGCCCACAAGCTGTAACGGACACACTAACACACACACATACCAGAGTATCAATGCTATATCTCCTCTGCAACTAGTTGCGCGAGGGGATA